TCTCGGAGCCCACACAGCGCTCCCATTTTGCTCGTTCGTAAAAAGAATGGCAAGTGGCGTATGTGTGTGGATTACCGACAACTCAATGAGAGCTCAATTCTTGATGCGTATCCTCTGCCGCGCATTAACCATATACTAGAGCGACTACGCAACGCGAAGTTTATAACCACACTGGATTTAAAGAATGACTATTGGCAAATACCCATGGCTGATGACAGCCGTGAATGTACGGCATTTACCGTACCTGGTCGTGGTCTATTCCAATGGCGCGTCATGCCGTTTGGACTATATTCGGCGCCTGCTACGTTTCAACGCACTCTCGACACAGTCCTGGGCACAGACATGGAACCCAACGCTTTCGCCTATATGGATGACGTCATCATCATCAGCAAAGATTTTGATGAGAGTTGAAGTTTCTTCCAACAGAGACTAAAATACTTGGGCCATGTGGTCAGCAACCATGGCATCCAAACAGATCCCGACAAAGTTTCTGTTGTACGAAACCTGGAGCCGCCAACGAACTTGAAGGAACTTCGCCAGTGTATTGGGATGGTATCCTGGTATCGATTCGTTCCAAACTTTGCTGCAGTTGTGCAGCCAATGTCCCAACTACTCAAGAAGGGAAGAGTATGGCGTTGGGGCGAAGAGCAGCACACAGCATTTAATAATTTGAAATCTTTACTCACCACAGCTCCAGTGTTAGCATGCCCGGATTTTAGCCACAAGTTCGTACTCCAAACGGACGCTTGCAATCTCGGGACCGGTGCGGTATTAACGCAGGAGATCGATGGGCAGGAGCGAGTCATTTCATACTCATACATCAGTCGCAGACTAAGCAAAGCAGAATTACTCTGCTACCGACAAGGAATGTCTAGCTGTCATTTGGGCAATCCGGAAGCTGAGGTGCTACCGATTCGAGGTGGTGACGGATCACTTGGCACTCAAGTGGCTAAATACACTCGAGTCCCCAAGGGAGAGTTGCACGATGGGCGCTGGAACTGCAACAATATCAATTCGACATTCGCTACAGAGCCGGCAAGCAAAACGTCGTGGCCGACGCACTCTCAACGCAGCCTCTGGAAAACATGAATCGAATTGAAGCCGATGGAGAATCATCTTGTCCGTGGCTTACGAACAAGATAAATCAAGTACAGGAAGATCCACAGAAGTTCTCGGAGTACACTCTGGAAATTGGAATTGTGTTCCCCGGAATCATCCTCGCCGTGTTCTCGAAGAGTGATAATAACGAAAAATTATATCTTCCTCAGCAAACAGCAGCGTCAACAGTCAGATGGAGAGACAGAACGAACATAGTGCGGGGCAATCGTCTCCAGATCAGAGTTGGGTAGGCGATAAGTCCACGTCCCCGTACCTTCCTCACGACCAGGACGGCCAGTCACTGGATGACTGGCTGGATGTATGCGCATCGAGCTGGAAGCGACCACCGATGGCCGGACCAGAGCTCCGACGCGAGGCGCGGCCAATGATACACGAGAGGCACGAGGTTGGCGAGACGATAGCCTGCAGAGGCGGCGTACACGGTAACCACGGCAACACACACCACCCGAGACTGCCCAACGACTTGTCTGGGAGCCCGCAACGTCGGACAAAGAAAGATACCCCAGGCCCTTCTTGTGGACGTCATGTCGGGCTTACAGAAGAGCTCGCTTTACGAAAGTGCTGGACGGCAAACGGTTCCAGATCACACGGAAGAAGGGACGAGTCTCAATCAACTCGGAGGAAGGAGAGGGTGTGACGCAGAATCTCACGGCGTCTAAGACTCCATAAGACTAAGCAGGAACACATGAAGTTAGATATTTGGTTATCATTAGTATATTGCGCATTATCCATTTCTGCAATTGTCATGAAGGACCGGTATTATTTGAATTTGCACGAGAGGTATTTTTTAAGAGATATTTATAAATAGAGAGAGAACAGGCGGGCTGGCTTCACCGCCCACGCAGAGAGAGTTTTCGATAAGTAGCGAAAAGGGATGCAAGAAAAACGAGGTTAGAAGGGCGAGCAAAAATGAAAGCTCGCTCTCTTCTCCAGTGACCACAGCAGCGAATAGACGTACGAGTACCAGCCGCAAAGCCTTACACGATCAAATAAAATCCATGTAAGTTCAAAGCATCCTGGTGTTAAATTTGTGTAGCATAAGGCCGGCAGCATTTAGAACAGGAGTACAACGAATGGGGCTAATATTTCGTGGGAATTATGGCATGTTGGTGGTTATATCTGCTGGGCCATTAACAGGCAGATATAACGCTAAGGTGTTATAAACCACGAAATCGGCAGAGCCAAATTGGTGACGTCTTGTAATTGCAGTGTAGTTAACCACAATTGCAAGACGGCGGCAGTTTGGTAGATGCGTCGAACTTTCGTTCATCGGGCATCAACCAGTGAACGCAAATTCCACGTGTCGCTACAGTGTACATCGAGCCCTTTTGGTCGCAAGGTCCCGCAACTTACAAATTTTCTTGTAAGGGATCCTGGACAGCTGAGCATTACCTCGGCTGGAAAAATAACTTTTAAACACCCTGATCAAGATTATATATACTCTGTGGGGTCTGCCACGCCTCCTTCTCCCTGTTGCACACATTCGCACAAAACTAGTATAGCCTTTCACCTTTTGGGTACAGGCTATAAAAAGTGCAACCAATGTAAGCCGTTCAGCAAATTTTTGGTGTTTTGCATTAAAAACAAATAAAACAAGATATTTTTCCTTCATGGCGCGCTCAAAACCTTTAACAAACCAAGAAGAAGGCCTTATTACGGCCAATTAGAATGCTGGATTGAATAATAGCCACAATACAGTAATCGCTAACTTTTTGAAAGATCCAGATCCAAATATGGTGAACTTAAAAGAGTTCATAACACACAGTTAGAACAAGATAGAACGCTACAGTCGAGCAAGCCCGACAGTAAAATACCCTGTACTCTCCACAAACAGGAAAAATTAAAAAAAAAAATTAAATGATTAAAAAAAATGAATAAATTAATGAATTAATTAAATTAAATTAGAATATATGTTTATGTTCAGTTTTAACAGCATACATTTACATCAGGTACCTATGCGTGTTTATATGCAGGTATGTATGCAGCACAAAGTTGAACCAAAGCAGCAACAACAACAACAGCTGCGGGCAGCGCTGCCGGCAGCGCATGAGCAGCGATTTTTCTTATGGCTATAATTTTCATCAGAATTGACCTATCAGGATGACTTGGCACACGGACACATAAGCACTAACTGGATGTAATTACCAAAATTGATTTCAAAATTCCAAGAATTACGGAAGTTATACAACAACAAAAACACGAATTGCGGGGGAGTGGGAGGGTGTATCAGAATACAAAAATAAACTTGACCTGCCTAGGGCTTAGGGGAACCTGGATACCAAGTTTGGTCATTCTAGCCCTTGTACCTTCTGAGATCCTTGCGCTCATACAGACGGACAGACGGACGGAAGGACAGACATGGCTATATCGACTCGGCTTGTCACCCTGATCAAGAATATATATACTTTGTGGGGTCTGCCACGCCTCCTTTTGTGTGTTACATACATTCGCACAAAACTAGTATAGCCTTTCACCCTTTGGGTATTGGAATTTTGTACTCAAATTTGGCAAATACATCCATATAGTGATTATGTGTCTGTTTGCCAAGTTTCATCCTGATAGGTTAATTATGAAGAAAGTTATAGCCATAAATATAATCTCTGCCCAAGCTCTGCCGGCAGGGGTTGCTGCTTTGACGTATTTTTTTCTGCATACAAGCACGCATATACGCGATTCTGATGTAAATCTATGCTGTTGAAATTGTAGATAAACACTTATGTCCATATGCATGTGTTAAATATTTTTTATTTAATTAAATTAAATAATTACATTTTTTTATTTTTTTGTTTATTTATTTTTTTGTGGGGTGGTACAGGGTATTTAAGAGTTGAGCCCACTCGACTTTAGCATTCCTTTCTTGTTTTAATTTTAATTAGAAAAAATTATAAATGGATAACAGATAGGATTGCTGGTAGTAAGAACTAAGTAATTAAGAAGTATAAATTTTCTTACTTTATGTTTAAATAGTAGCAAATATTAAATATTTACTTGTAAGTTAAGAAACTAAATAATATTTATATTTATGTAATAATATTTTTAATTTGATTTAAATGCCAACTGACATTTTTACCAAAAATATTTTTAAATTAATATGCAAGTCAATCAAACAAAAATATGAAATAGTCAATCAACAAAATTCAATCAAAAATCAATCAACAAAATTGCTTGTGCATAAATACAAGTTGAGGTAGCTCATGACAATGTCAAGGATATTGTCTGCATATGAACACTACATTTGCACACATACATACTTACATATGTATGTATGTGTGCTTTCATAGGCATTTTTAGAAACCCATACACTGTTGACAAAGTTCACTTGCATACGCATCCCAAAATACAATGCGACAGAAGTTGGCAAAAGAATATATAAAATGTTCATGCCCATGTAGCAGGTAAAATCTGAAAACGAAATTTAAGCTGCTGCTCGCAAAACAGCAAAAGAATAAAATGCACCAATACATATAAACATATATAGTACATGTATATATGTGCACGCACCCATTCAAAGAGCATAAGCGGCGCAGATCGACCGTATCTGTCGACTGCAAATGAAATAAAATTCGCTCACAGAGAGCACGAATGCGACAGCTACCAGTCGGCTCAGCCGAAGTGCGACAGCTCCCATTCGGCAAATACCCGAGCAGCTATGGGAGCTGTCTCTCACAATTTTGATGGGACGTTTTCGTTGTATGAAATGAAACAAACAAATGTTAAATATTTAAGCGTGTTTGCTTCAAAATATTCGAAATAAAGCAAAGTAAAAGTATGAATTTTGGTATTCATTTGCTTTCAGTTAAAATAAATGTGGTTGATGGAGTGATTTAATGATTCAATGCCCATAAAAGACAGTTCTGAAGAACCTATTATAAGTTATTTACCTTGACTTTTGCTGGAAAAATTGTCGATCCCATTGTTAATTGACCTTTTAGAACACGTGTATAAGCTTCTTTTTGAAAGTCGGTTGGATTACCGAAGTGGAACGTTCTAGTGACATCTGTAGTGCCATCTCTAAAATAATTTCAATAAATATTATTAGTATTATTTATAGTATTATTTTAGTTGCTAATACATGCTAATAGTTGTTAATACATGTATAGGAATAGGTGAACAACTAAAAACATATTCAGTAAAAAATGGTTACAAACTCTAACAAATATATTTTTCCACATAGAAATAATAATTGTTTTTTCCAACAATCTGGATCAAAAATATTATATTTAACATTAAAAAAATTTTGTTTTCTTATTTTGTTTAGTTGCTTGTCGCATATTAGTGGTTTACAAATGCTGCGCATCACAAGGATGTCATGTGCATTGCAAACCTTGAAGAGAACGCTACAGTCAAGAAAGCCTGACAGTGAAATACCCTGTACCCAGACAAAAGTCTGGCCCTGAGTTTGATGCAAAAAGAAGAAGTGCGAACTTGATGCTGCAGTTTGTGGGGTTGTATTACTGGAGTGAAAGTGTTTCGCTTCCACAGAAAAAAGGAACAACCTGGATCTCCCCATGGCTTAGGGGTACTTGGTTACCAAGTTTGGTAATTCTAGCTCTTGTACTGAGATCCTTCCGTTCATACAGACGGACATGGCTATATCGACTCGCCTTGTCATCCTAATTCCGATAGAGGGCATTTTAAATCAATACGATTACATTGGAATTGTAAATGAGCATGCTTTTACTTCAATAAAACCCTTCTTTCCATCCCATTTCTTGATTATACAACACTACAATGCTCCATATCATAAAGGATGGATACTCACCAAAATTTTAAAAGACTTAAATCAGGCTAAAACACCAAAGGATTATCGCCAAGAATCGAAGTGTCAATGATAACATACATGAAAGAAGGAAAATTTGACTCAAATTGACTGTTGCATTCGGCAGAAACTTGGTTGAATCTATTCCAGCCAGGTTGGAAGCAGTTATTAATGCGGTTTTACTAAGTTTTAATTATAGTAATGAAGTTAACATAAAAAAATGAATAAAAACAAGAAAGGAATGCTAAAGTCGAGCGAGCTCAACTCTTAAATACCCTGTACCTCCCAACAGAACGGAAGAAATGAAAAAAACATTTTTTTTTTATTAATTAAAAAAAATTATATTAATTAAACTATTTAATTAAATTAAATATAAATTATTCAATATTCAATTCAGCACAAAGTTCAACCAAAGCCGGAACAAGAACAGTTGCGGGCAGAGCGTGGGCGGCGATTTTATTTATGGCTATAACTTTCTTCAGAATTGACCTATCATGATTAAACTTGGCATACGGGCAGATAACCACAAACTGGATGTATATGCCACTTTTGCCAATTCCACTCTCCACAAAAAGGAAAATTAAAAAAAAAAAATTTTTTTTTAATTTAATTATTAAAAAAAATGAATTAATTAATGAATTAACATTAATTAATTAAATTAAATTAGAATACATGTTTATGTTCAGTTTTAACAGCATACATTTACTTCACGTACCTATGCGTGTTTATATACGTGTATGTATGCAGCACAAAGTTGAACCAAAGAAGCAACAACAACAGCTGCGGGCAGCGCTGCCGACAGAGCTGCAGGCAGCGCATGAGCAGCGATTTTACTTATGGCTATAACTTCCTTCAACATTGAGCTATCATGATGAAACTTGGCACACGGACACATAATCCCTAGCTGGATGTAATTATCAAATTTGAATTCGAAATTCCAAGAACTACGGGAGTTACGTAAATCACTAATAGCGGGGGAGTGGGGGGGTATATCGGAATAAAAAAACAAACTTGACCTGCCTAGGTCTTGGGGGAACCTGGATACCAAGTTTGGTAATTCTAGCTCTTGTACCTTCTGAGATCCTTGCGCTCATACAGACAGACAGACGGACATGGCTATATCGACTCGGATGTCACCCTGATCAAGAATATATATACTTTGTGGGGTCTGCCACGCCTCCTTTTGTGTGTTACATACATTCGCACAAAACTAGTATACCCTTTCACCCTTTGGGTACAGGGTATAAAAACACTAACTTGACCTGCCTAGGGCTCAGGGGAACCTGGATACCAAGTTTGGTCATTGTAGCTCTTGTACCTTTTGAGATCCTTGCGCTCATACAGACGGACATGGCTATATCGACTCGTCTTCTAACCCTGATCAAGAATATATATGCATTGTGGGGTCTGCCACGCCTCCTTCTGCCTGTTACATACATTTGCACAAAACTAGTATAGCCTTTTACCCTTTTACCCCTGTAAATATGACATATCAATGTAAATAATTCAACTGAAGTTTTGTGTAATTACTTTTGACACAAATAAAATGTTTGTAAATAATTTTGACAACTTAGGGGTATAACTTCATTTGTTTATATATTTTGGCCTCAGCTCATTACTTTGGTGGTTGCCAAAGATCGAATATGCCGTTAAGTGCGGTCACCAACTTTGAGAACTGCCCTTTTCCGGCTGTTTTGAGCATATTTTCGCGGATATTTTAAAAAGTTTGAGACGGTATTCCGATGCTTGTTTATTGCTTTATCAATAACATATACTTTTATGCCAAAATCAGCCATAGTTTAATATAAAATAATTATTAATTTTAAGTTCGCCAAAACACAACGATACGGCTTTTAATAAGCCTCCAATAGGTTTTCTTAGCAATTCAATTTTTTTTCTGGAGATAATAAGTATGGTTCAGACTTAAAACGTAAAAGGATAAAATGCACATTTATCAATTTGCTATGAAAGGCATGACCTGGGATTCTTTTAAATGCTAACGGTACTTGAGATTAAGAGCTGATAAGAAACGAATGTATGAGAAAGCAACACAAAGTAAAAGAGAAAAAAATTTTATACACAAAACATTAAAACATATATTTAAATAACGGTAATATCAAAAACAAATTTGCACATATGTACATATATCAATTTTACTGAGGTACATGCTCTGTTTATGGTTATCATGTATGCATATTTGTACATAAGTATGTACGTATGAGCAAAAAAGTATTTATTTCTCTATATGCCTTAGTTTTCGGCACGTACCAAAGTAATTTGTTAGAAATGTAAAAAAAGATAAAAATATACATATAGTAAATATAAGGGCGGTCCGACAAGTACTTAGCATCACCGTCCGACGGCACCGAAGCAAACGAAGATTACTTTCATGTAGTATATCCTCGTAGACGACTACTGTTAAAATGTCATGCAAATCGGACTTTTAGAATTTTTAGTAAAATGGAAAAAGAGCAATATCGGTAATTCGATTCTTGTTTTAGGAAAAAAAAGCGCGTAACTAAATCAAAGAGCACTTTGATGCTGGGTATGGAAACTCTTCTCTTCATGAGGACGATCGCCGCCACGCAGGCCTACATCGCAGACATATTTTTTAGACGGTTTTAAGAAGCCAAGTGTTTCGAATAAACAGGACGCTATGTTAAGAAATAAATCGCAACTATTTAGAAAAGGTTCGATTTTCTTTTGTAGGTTAAGTAATTATCGGATCACCATAGTAAATATTTAATTGTAAGCACAAAATACGTAGGCCAGCAAAGACGTGCACGTTCTGCTAGTATATGTATATTTATAATACTCACAAATATTGGGCACCCGAGTCGCATAGGTATATCTCTTTATCATTAATTAAGCGATTTGTTTCCTTCGTAGGTCGATAATGAATAACTGAGCCATTAGGACCGGATGAACTTATTGTATTAAAGCTCAGCCCCATATAAAATTCCTTTGTACTGTATGTACACTGGTGAAGTTATTATTAAGATAAGAGTTTTATACAAATAAACATACCATCGTAGTGATTCTAATTTATCGGCTCCTGACAATTCATCTACTTTTTCGCCGGTTTGTATTGCGTTTTCAAGCCAAGCGAAGTACTGGCAAAGTGCAACACCATCGCGAATGTGGCTGTTTATGAAACCCTCTATCTCTACATTGTTCTTAATCGCCTTAGACTCAGCAATTGGTGTAATCTATATAATTCGTAAAAAATTGATAAACCAAAAACAAAAAACTACCGTATATTTATAATTACCCGTTGCAATCGTTTAGACTTCGGAACTAGAGCAGTTAAGTAATAGCTGCTACTTGGAGAAATCCAGATTTTTCCATTCTTATTGGAAACCTATAATTATATAAGCCGTGCGGCAAAAAGCTAAATGTAAATGCAGGTATTCAAAAATGGTACGTACGATCTGACACAGTTCCTGGCCAATATCAATATATGGTAGAATTGTTATGTTAACATTATTTTCAGACTGATGCTGGGAAAAATCTCCGGGCAGTTTTTGTGAGTCAACAAACAAAAGCAGATCATCATAAGTTATAATCAAGTACGAAAAAAAAACTGGATTGAAGTCTATATCAGACCCGCGCAAATTTAAAAACCCTGGTAATACAAATATTAATGTTAGTAAATACAAGTAGGTCAATTATTAAATCAAATCTCTAGATTTACACGCAATTTCATCCAGTGCACTGACAACTAAGGCAACCGCATTTTTCTCTTCCAACTGCTGTCGAATATTTTCCCATTTCTTGGCAATAGTTACTCCAGCAAATTTTTGTTTTAGTGTTATGATAGTGTTCGATGTTTGTGATGGTTGATTGTCACCCCATATCTCGTCAATTAAATTTTGTTCTACAGGAACCAAGCGGCATTCTGCAAATAGTCCACATTATATAAAAATTTAATAAATAGACGATATGAAAAAAATAGTCGTGCGTGAACGACTATAAAAAAACGCTGAATTCCCATCCAAAACAAGTTATTTGTTTAAATTGTTTGTTACTTTGTTAAGAATTTGATAAAATTTTAAACAACTGTAACAGTAAAATATATAAATTATATGTGCAAAGTTTGGTTTAGGTAGCATTTGAAATGTGGACGCTATTGACGAAATTCTGTAGTTAATAGTTTCAGTGATCCTTGCGTTCATCCAGACGGACAGACGGACGGACGTACATGTCTAGATCGATTTCTCTCGTCATGCTGATTCAGAATATATGTATATACTTTATGGGGTCGGAGATGCTGACTTCTACATGTTACATATTTTGCACAAACCTAAAAAATGTTATGGTTTGAGAAAAAACTATTTTCTTCTAGAAGAGTATACTCCAAAAGTCATAGAAACCAAAATTTTAATTATTTATTACAATAAAGGTAAAATATGGAAAATAATATTCAAAGTATCTATATATATAAAACAGTTTGTCCTGACTGACTGACTGATTGGTGATCAATGCACAGCCCAAACGGTAAAGGCTAGGAAGCTGAAATTTGGCTAGGAAGTTTTCACCTGATTAACTTCAAACTTAGTTTGTATACTCTCAGAACAATTCCAAGAAAAATTGTATACTTGGTTTTTTGATATTTTTTTTGGGGCCTAAAATATGGGAAAAGAAAACCGCGTCAACAGCCCACAGCCCACACGGTAAAAGCTAGGATGCTGAAATTTCGGCTCAAGTATCCTATCATGGTGTAAATGGGATTTTGGAAAATACGAGCTCCAAAGGGGGGAAAACGAACTCCAAAGTTTGTTTGAAAATCCGTATTTTTCAGCCGATCGACATAAAACTTGGTTTCTAAAATCAATTAAAGAATACAAACAAAACTGCATACTTAGATTTTCGAAATTTTTATTGGGGTTTTAATATTTATTCACTATTTCAAATGAAAAGTTTGTGTTATAAATTTAGTCCGATCGATTTAAAATTTGGGTAATGTAATCTTCGTAACTAAATCTACAACTTTGCATTCAAGGATTTTCAAAATATGCATTTTACAAAAGCAGGCAGAACAAACAGTTGGGGACAACTAAGTATACATACACACACATACAAACAGCTGTTCGTGTAGTTGCGTGCAAACGATTGAAATAGCCAAAGCAAAATGTGAGACACTAATGTGTGAATGTTCACACATATGTGCACATCTATATATGTACATATGTATCCACATATGTATGCATGTACATTCGTCTTGCACTGACAGAGCAAGAAATGTTAATTAATTGAGAATTATATAACATTTTTAAAAGAATTTTTTCTTTGTTTAGTGCATTTGGCATTAGGGTTTTCATTAATAACTTTATGCAGCAACAACAAATATCAAATAGTTGGGGACATCACATACACACACTCACACACACAACAAGCAACAGTTCGTGTCTATGTGTGCGGTTCTCTACGTACGGTTGAAAAAGTAAAGAGAAACGTACTTGTACATATGTATGTATGTATGTATGCCTGTGTATGAATATAGCATGTATGTACATTCGTATTAATGTATACATTGGGCAATCGAACACAGTTGTTTGATTGTAAAAAAAAATAATGCTCTAAAAACAACAACAACTGTAAGTCATTGGCTCGCTCTTCTTCTTTCGTTTTGACCATTTAATGTTAATTGCAAAGGCAAAACGCCAAAAGTTTACAGTTACCGTCGCTAGGCAACGACTGCGTAAGCGATAGTAAAGCAGAAACCGAATAACGGAGCTACGCATATTCTGCTTCGCATTGCGGGCAGATGTATGTATGTATGTATATGATTTGTTCTTATTGATCTCAATAAATAATTAGATTTTATTATTTAAATATTCTGCTTATTACATTCAAACTTCGTTATTTTGATGGTATCGGTGGCTTCAACTATCAAAAGTTTTACTCTAGCAAATTGAGATGAGAATTGTCAGTGCTTTTTGATAGTGGCTCATCGCTGCACGGCATTGACACGAGTGCCGTGTTTCATATTCCGAGTTTGTACGTGACCGTATTGACTCAATATGGGACGAAAAGACTCAAATGTGAATTTAAAATTAGGATATTCCCTTATAATTATTCCCCTTTTTTGCACATAGTCTATCTTAAAACGTTGCGTTATCTCTATATATAAAACAGTTTGTCCTGACTAATTGGTGATCAACGCACAGCCCAAACGGTAAAAGATGAAATTTTGACTCAAGTATCCTTTCATAGTATCCATCATAGTGTAGGAGCACACTAAGAAAGGCTTTTGGAAAATTCTAGCCCCAAAGGGGGGAAAACGAGCTTTAAAAAATATTAGTTATAGTGGTCATGTTCGTGTAACGAAATAGTTTGGCAAGAACAAAAATGTAACGGACTACTGAACAATTTTTTGTGAAGAACAGAAAATGTTCATTTAAATACCTTAAATGCCTTCCTACTGGTAACTTATAAGGTGAAAACATATGGGTATGTTATGCACACACAAAATAAATACAATTGGAAACATTATATTGAGCCGGGTTAAGACGGGCAATACCTGCTAGTATTTAATATAATTGTGTTTAAGTGTAAGTACATATGTACAGTGGTGGAAAAAATAATAGAAACGACATTCCACTTTTCACTAAAAACTCCAGTCCTCAATTTCTGGGCAAGTTATATGGGTTTCTTCTACTATGCACGATAATTGGTTAAAGATACTTCATAGTGATTTTGTTTTTTAGAAACTTCTTTTACGGCAGTCCAAAAAACACCAAATTTTTATACTCTGTACATAAAATGTACAAGAGTATATTAGGTTTGCGGGAGCTGAAAATGTAACAGGCAGAAGGAGGCGTGGCAGACCCCATAAAGTATATATATTCTTGATCAGCATGACGAGACGAGTCGATCTAGCCCTGTCTGTCTATCTGAACACCTGGATCTCAGAGACTATAAGAGCTAGAGACACCAAATTTTGATGCCTTATGTGTGTACGCTGTGCAAGTTTGTTTTCTTTTTTTGATCGCCCCCCCCCCCCCCCCCCCCCCCCACTTCTCCACTATGGGCGTTTTCCCGATTTTCCATTCGTATTATCGCCTATATCTCGAAGACTATAAGACCTAGGGACACCATTTTAGTCCCAGGTGCCTTATGTGAATACGCAGAAAATGTGTATTTTGGAATTTCCCTCTCTCCCCCCTCTCCACGGCACATCGTAACTCCCGTAATTCTTGGACTTTCGAACTCAAACTTGGCAAATACCTCCATTTAGTTATTATAAGTCCAAATGATAGGCCGATTTAACAGGAAGTTATAGCCATATATGTACATAAGACCAAGTAGTGCCCGCAGCTGTGTTGTTGTTACTGCTTTGCTCAGGCATACGAGACATACACAGATACACACACATACACGCATAATTATTCTACACATATGTACAGAGTATTTCAAAGTCGGGATACCCGACTTTAGCTTCTCTACTTGTTTTATCAGGAGATCTATGAAAGCAATTAAATATAATTGTTTCTAGTCGTACAATAATAAATAGGCTGATAGAAGCTGATTTGAAAGCACATTCTGCAAGAAAAGTACCAAGACTTATAAAAACAAAAATTCTGAGGACGCATTATTTTTCCAAAAGGCATTCAGTGCGAGCAAATTGCTTTGAATAGACCAGACTAAGCTAAGTTTGTTGAGATCTGATGGCAAGACGCCCCCAAAATCAACCTCATGATCCGGAATACACTATAAAAACTATTAAGGATGGATGTGTCAACATAATGCTATGGGGAATTTTTTCATCATTTGGGTGTTGGTTAAATATTTTGGTATAAGGACGAAATCTGCGCCATGGATTACGTTAATATACTTAACAGTCTGACAAGTCTGAGTGATTTTGTTGAAGGCGGACGTGTTTTTATTGAGCTCCTGTTGACAAATTTGTGTACGCGAGGTTCCATCAAATTTATACAAATTATTAGCTGTATAGCTGCCCTAGCGACGGTACGTACTGCAACTGGAGCGTGAAGAAATTACCTGCAGCAGACGTTCTGGGCGGTAAATTTATTTTGAAAATCCTGGGTGCCGTGTTTTGTCTTTCACTCATAATAGCGAGGAAAAGTGGAGAAAGCCGCAAATCGGAAAAATTGTTTCACTCAACCGGACTTGCGCCAAGCAGCAAATAAATAAATAAAAAAAAACATTTCACCGGGCTGCAGAACAGCTGATCTCAATCACAGTTAATCGCATCCTTTTTTGGTTTTAAGCTCTAAACAGGGGGCGTCCACCGGTTAAAAAAGCTGCATACTTTTGGGCTGCTATATTTAAAATGCCAGTTGATCAAAACTGCGCAACGCCAACAAATAAGCGAACTCGCGCTTACTCCACTCCTGATAGCAATAAGCAAGCTGCAAAAATGGAGAATTCGATTGGAGGGATGAATGTGCAAGCGCTTATGGACATAATGGAACGTACTATGGCTTCTACTCTCGACGAAAAGCTTCAAAATCTACCTACCAAGGCTGATCTTGAAGTAGTTATGGGACGCCTAAATAAAGTTTTTTTTTTTGTGTTTTTGTAATTTGCTGTTTTGGGCGATCTTAACCTCAAAATAGTTTTATTTCGTGGAGTAAAAGTTGTGAAAGGATTGTAGTGGATTGTCGTAGCTTCGAATGCAATATTGTTCATTACAGCGTCTTCTTATTATTATTTTTTTTTTTTGCCTGATATTGCCCCAAAAATTGGTCGACATTTGGAGCAGCAACAGACTTAGAAAACGCACTTAAACAATATATACTACTAGCAGGTATTGCCCGTCTTAACCCGGCTCAATATAATGTTTCCAATTGTATTTATTTTGTGTGTGCATAACATACCCATATGTTTTCACCTTATAAGTTACCAGTAGGAAGGCATTTAATGATGGAAACTATGAAAGGATACTTGAGTCCACATTTCATCTTTTACCGTTTGGGCTGTGCGTTGATCACCAATTAGTCAGGACAAACTGTTTTATGTATAGAGATAACGCAACGTTTTAAGATAGACTATGTGCAAAAAAGGGGAATAATTATAAGGGAATATCCTAATTTTAAATTCACATTTGAGTCTTTTCGTGCCATATTGAGTCAATACGGTCACGTACAAACTCGGAATATGAAACACGGCACTCGTGTCAATGCCGTGCAGCGATGAGCCACTATCAAAAAGCACTGACAATTCTCATCTCAATTTGCTAGAGTAAAACTTTCGATAGTTGAAGCCACCGATACCATAAAATAACGAAGTTTGAATGTAATAAGCAGAATATTTAAATAATAAAATCTAATTATTTATTTAGATCAATAAGAACAAATCATATACATACATACATACATCTGCCCGCAATGCGAAGCAGAATATGCGTAGCTCCGTTATTCGGTTTCTGCTTTACTATCGCTTACGCAGTCGTTGCCTAGCGACGGTAACTGTAAACTTTTGGCGTTTTGCCTTTGCAATTAACATTAAATGGTCAAAACGAAAGAAGAAGAGCGAGCCAATGACTTACAGTTGTTGTTGTTTTTAGAGCATTATTTTTTTTTACAATCAAACAACTGTGTTCGATTGCCCAATGTATACATTAATACGAATGTACATACATGCTATATTCATACACAGGCATACATACATACATACATATGTACAAGTATGTTTCTCTTTACTTTTTCAACCGTACGTAGAGAACCGCACACATAGACACGAACTGTTGCTTGTTGTGTGTGTGAGTGTGTGTATGTGATGTCCCCAACTATTTGATATTTGTTGTTGCTGCATAAAGTTATTAATGAAAACCCTAATGCCAAATGCACTAAACAAAGAAAAAATTCTTTTAAAAATGTTATATAATTCTCAATTAATTAACATTTCTTGCTCTGTCAGTGCAAGACGAATGTACATGCATACATATGTAGATACATATGTACATATATAGATGTGCACATATGTGTGGACATTTACACATTAGTGTCTCACATTTTGCTTTGGCTATTTCAATCGTTTGCACGCAACTACACGAACAGCTGTTTGTATGTGTGTGTATGTATACTTAGTTGTCCCCAACTGTTTGTTCTGCCTGCTTTTGTAAAATGCATATTTTGAAAATCCTTGAATGCAAAGTTGTAGATTTAGTTACGAAGATTACATTACCCAAATTTTAAATCGATCGGACTAAATTTATAACACAAACTTTTCATTTGAAATAGTGAATAAATATTAAAACCCCAATAATTCAAGCTCCAACACAAATTTCGAAAATCTAAGTATGCAGTTTTGTTTGTATTCTTTAATTGATTTTAGAAACTAAGTTTTAAGTCGATCGGTTGAAAAATGCGGATTTTTCAAACAGCTCCCCTTTGGAGCTCGAATTTTCCAAAATCCCTTCTTAGTGCTCATCTACACCATGATAGGATACTTGAGCCCAAATTTCAGCATCCTAGCTTTTACCGTGTGGGCTGTGGGCTGTTGACGCGGTTTGCTTTTGTGCCCCAACATATTTTTACAGGAAAACTCCCATATTTTGGGCCCCAAAAAATATCAAAAAACCAAGTATACAGTTTTTCTTGGAATTGTTCTGAGAGTATACAAACTAAGTTTAAAGTTAATCAAATGAAAACTGTAGATTTTTCATACAAACGTTGGAGCCTGTTTTCCCCCTTTGGAGCCTGTTTTCCCCCCTTTGGAGCTCGAGTTTTCCAAAATCCCTTCTTAGTGGGCACCTAGACTATGAAAGGATACTTAAGTCCAAATTTCAGCTTCCTAGCCTTTACTGTTTGGGCTGTGCGTTGATCACCAATCAGTCAGTCAGGACAAACTGTTTTATATATATAGATTACACAACAAGTAAAAAAGCTGAAGTCGGGTGTCCTGACTTTGAAATACTGTGTACATATGTTTAGAATAATTATAGAAAGTAAAAAAAGTAAGAGAATTAAAAAAAATGTTGATCGATTTTACCTCTTTTGGTATTTGAACTCACGTAAAGGGTGTATAATTGCACATATACAAAGCAATTGCGTCTATATAAACATACATACACTCATGTTTATGCGCGTATATTCGTGTCTGTGTAAGCATGTTCGCAGCATCAACAACAGCCGCAGGCAGCGCTGCAGCAGCAAATATGTTTATGGCTATAACTTCTTGTTAAATCGGTCTATCATGATGAAACTTGGCATACGGACACATAATTATACTAACTGGGGGTATTTGCAAGATTTTAGTTTGAAATTCCAATAATTACGGGAGTTAGAGAAAATCGCGATTTGCATGGGAGAGGGTGGAGGGAGGAAAATTCCAAAATACACATTTTCTGCGTATTCACATAAGGCAGCTGGGACTAATTTGGTGTCCCTAGGTCTGATAGTCTTCGAGATATAGGCGATTATACGAATAGAAAATCGGGAAAACCCCCATAGGGGGGAAGTGGGGGAAAATCAAAAAAATAAAACAAACTTGCACAGCGTACACACATAAGGCATCTTTGTGCAAAATTTGGTGTCTCTAGCTCTTATAGTCTCTGAGATCCAGGTGTTCATACGGACAGACAGAAAGACAGACAGGGCTAGATCGACTCGTCTCGTCATGCTGATCAAGAATATATATACTTTGTGGGGTCTGCCACGCCTCGTTCTGCCTGTTACATTTTCAGCTCCCGCAAACCTAGTATACTCTTGTACATTTTATGTACAGATATATAAAAACTACAGCAAATATCGTAGATGAATATAATACTATGTTGATATCGGAAAAAGTAAAAGCCTTCGCCAATTATATTAAAAATCACATGCCAAGTAGTAATAACACTCTATAAAAATTCAAAAAAACACACGAATTGTTTTGCTTTCAACATGATGAAGTTTATGGTAATTTTGAGTATTGGTTGCAAATGGTACAGTCGAGCAATCCTGACAGTAAAATACCCTGTACCCAGACAAAAGTAAATAATTGTGTATTAATTATGTGTGCAAATTTGGTATACATATGTAGCTTTTGAAATGAGGACAGTATTGACGAAATTCTGTAGCGGGGAGTGGCGGAAAACTCAAAAAATAAAATAAACTCGTATAGACTAGGGACTAAGTGCATCTAAATTCCAAGATTGGTTAATATGTGAAAGTCGGCCTTATCTGTTATATAGCAGCTATATGAATCAGTGATCCAAACTGAATTGGGTTATTGGTATTAAAATTATATGTATGAGTATAATTAAACTTAAAACACAAACCAGCTTCTGCTAACTCCTTTTCAATAGGCTTCCATAGACGATAAGAAAATAACCTTGGATCCACTCCTACTGCACTACCCTTTGGGAGATTTTTGGCAAGCCATGCACCAACAGTTGGGGTATTTGCCAACCCATCTCTCATTAAAGTCCAATTCGAGTCCAGCTGTTTTTCAGCCTGTTGATAATATCGCCCGTCAGTCCACAGTAGTGCCTTATCTGTGGTTATAACAGCTGTTCCGGCGGATCCATCAAATCCACTGATAAATGCTCGCCTACCGTCATGTTGACATTGGTACTCGCTTTGATGGGCATCATCCGATGGTACAATATAGGCGGAAAGCTTACTGGCGTCAGACACCAATTTAAGGTGCATAAGCTCTCGCAATTTTGACAGAATTTGCGATGTATCTTTCATGATTGTAGCAATTGCACTAATATGGACGATCAGATAACACCAATTTATACACACTTTAATACGAATTATTAATTTATTTACGTAGATATTGAGCGCATATATGTATGTATGTGTACATAAGTACGCGCAACAAATGTACAAAGATTACTACTCGTGATAAGCTATCGCCTAGGTTCTACTGTTATAAATAACTACTACGCATTTAATACTTAGTTTTTATTACTCTATGTGAAATGAATCTACAAATGTACACAATTTGTCGGTCCGTCCACCAAATCTGAAACGCTACCTTTAAATTAGCACAGTGCTAACTCATTCAGATAAAGTTCAATTGCAACTGATATTGAAGTAAAATCATGACAAGATTACCCTAAAATAAGTAGTACTCGATTTTTTTTTTTACTTTTCATACAATGGGCATTTTTTTCGATTAATTAATAAACTAATCGGGTATTTTCAAAAGCTGCGTACTAGGCCCTATTAAGAATATATCGAATTGCAAAATACTTTGATACAAAGAAATCGCCAATGCAATCCAAAAATCCATATACGGGGGTGCCACAGAAATCTCTTGCGCACAAATTGTGCCACAAAACTAAATTTCGGTGCCACAGTAATCTCTTTTGGGAGGTTTCAAATTTCCTCATAGTTTTTCTGAACAAAATGCATCACAAATACATTGAATATCCTATGTAAATATGATTAAATTAGCAAATAACTATATCTCTAGCTAAAGCAGTAGCATTCACACACATCGTCCACTTGGCCCACATACAAAATTACATTTTTCGAACCTTACATTTTGATGAGTTAGGTGGTATTTGTGATTCAAACGAAAGTTAAAAATAAAGAAAGTAGAGAAGCTAAAGTCGGGTATCCCGACTTTGAAATACTCTGTACATATGTGTAGAATAATTATGCGTGTATGTGTGTATTTGTGTGTGTCAACAGCTGCTGGCACTGTTGGGTCATATATACATATATGGCTATACTTTCCTGCTTCGGCCTATCATTCTGAAAATTGGTATATTGACTCATAATCAAACTGGTCAGATTTTTTGAATTTCAATGAAAAATTCTAAGAAATACGGGAGTTATGGAAAATCAGTGATTGCTGGGAGGAGGAGGCATTCCAAAATACACATTTTCTGCGTATTCACATAAGGCACCTGGGACTAAAATTTGGTGTCCCTAAGTCTTATAGTCTTCGAGATATAGGAGATTAAACGAATAGAAAATCGGGAAAACGCCCATAGGGGGGAAGTGGGGGGGGGGGAATCAAAAAAATAAAACAAACTTGCATAGCGTACACACATAAGGCATCTTTGTGCAAAGTTTGGTGTCTCTACCTCTTATAGTCTCTGAGATCTAGGTGTTAATACGGACAGACGGACGGACAGACATAGATCGACTCATCTTGTCATGCTAATCAAGAATATATATACTTTGTGGGGTCTGCCACGCCTCGTCCTTCCTGTTACATTTTTGAGCTCGCGCAAACCTAATATACTTGTACTCTTGTACATTTCATGTACAGAGTATAAATATATTTGACACAACTGTTGACGCAGATACTGCTTTAGATTAGGATGGTTTAAGAGAAATATATGGACTTTAGTTAAAGGCGAAGAAAGTGCGCTATAGCGGCCGCTTTAGGCTTAGTTTAGCATGTAAGCCAAAATTGAAGCTTAGTGGTGAAACATAGTTCAATACACGCAATTGTCGCACAACATTTTTCGTTATCGCAAATCGTTCCGCAGTAAATTTGATAAAAAGCAATCGTCCCATTCTTTCTTGTTTAATAATTTATATGAAATCATAAAAATTTTCAACAACTCTTGTTTAAAATAAGTACCAATAAAGTGTGTATTAATTAAACGAACTTGGCGCAAATTGAGCCTGAAAAGGAAATTGAAGATGAGGTTCGCAAAGCAGCAAAAGAAAAAAAAAAATACATGTATATTTGTGCACACATTCAAACCTCGGAAACTGCGTGGACCAACCGTCTCTGTTGACCGCCTAAAGAGGCAGTCATATGAATTGAAATTCCCTCACAGAGAGCACGAACGCGACAGCTCCCATTCGGCTTATAGCCGAACAGCTATTATGTGAGCTATCGCTCACAATTTTGATGGGACGTTTTCGTTGTATGTAATGACGCATCTAAATGTTGTATGGTTAAGTGCCTGAAGAGAGTCCAGTTTCATTTATTTTAAATGAACTTTTTGACAACGTGGTCGATGATGTAAATAAAAAGATTTATTTAGTTTCTTAATGATATCTCGCAATTTTGAGCAAAAACAAATATGCTGATATAAGCAACGCAGGTTCAGCATTGTCTGGTACAATGTCAGTAAAATGATGCTGGAATAAATATAAATAAATAAATACATATCCCCGCGAATATATGTTATATAATTTACATATATAAAAATGGAAGTATGTACAAGTATGTATGTATATTCCCTAAAGACTCCGAAACCGCTCAACCGATTTTGATCAAATTTTGTGGCATTATTTAAAATAGTCCAATGGGTGCACCATCGATCAACCATCGTTTGCTTTCTTATTTCTGCTCATTTTCATTGTAAAATCGAATACAAACAAGAAAGGAATGCTAAGGTCGAGCAAGCTCAACTCCTAAATACCATGTACCTCACACCAAAAAGGAAAAAATTAAAAAAAATTTTTTATTAAATAAAAAAATTATATTAATTAAATTATTTAATTAAATACATGGATTGTTTCATGTTTGTTTACTTAATTATGGCAATTACAATTTTTTTGTTTCCGTATTTCAAGTTTCATAATAATAAGCCAATGTTAAAAGAAGTCTTAGCCTAAGTGTAATATCTACCATTAGCTGTTGTTGCTGTTTTGACTCAACGGTGTACTGCACACATGCTCACACAAAGCCACATACAGACACGCATAAACCGAATTCCGTAAATGTTCAGTTATACACACTTTACGTGAGTTGGAATCTCGAAGAAGTACAGTTAGTGCGACTGATAAGTAGCTGGTCGACCTATTGAGGGGACCGACAGGCCTTGAGTTGAGAAGAACCTCTACTTCCATCAGATGTGTGTTTAGCTCTGCTTACACTGCTATAAATTCATTGGCTTAGAAATTAAGTTTACAATAAGTCTAATTACAATCTAACATTTCAAATAATAATCATAATTACTACTAATAGACTCTTGCTTCAACAATGTGTTTTGTTTAAAATAGTAGTCTAATTTGGAAGGAATAATTAATAAACTTAACATGTCTGCAGAATAACAACTTACTAACTCCTTTTTAAATCTAATATGAAATAAGTGGAACTGAAGAGTCTAAACATATTCGAAATATGCCCGCTGAAGTTTTACCTATACTGACTTTTCCGTCACTGTTGTGGGTTGAGATACTGCTTTTTGCTTTTTTGGATGTCCGTGACCGGAGGGCAGCTTGCCGGCTCTAATATGCTCTGACGCTGAGCATCTCAGTACTGTTGAAGCTGCTGCTGCGGCTGGAGGTATGGGGGCCCGCGGTCAGACATCGTGCCGCCCAAGCAGCTCCGCCAGGCAGCGTCCACTCTTCCAACTTTCGTGGCTCTGCGTACATTTTCCTTTCCTTTGCCATTGCCGATGTCCGTTCGCATATGGTAGCATCTGCCAAACTGTTGTACACCGCTGTGACGCTTTAAAACCAAAACGGGCTCGGAAAACCAACTTTGTTTTGTGCTGCCCATCACGTACGCTAGTGTTGGGAAGCGGTCTGTTCGAGATGCAGTTGCCGTTGTAGCGTTGGCAGCTGACTTCACTAACGTGAACATGTCCCGCTGTACAATTGTCTTGTTATTTGACCACTTTTATTCCATATGCCTGCGCATTTGTCGTTTCGTACTCCTGACGGTTGGTGAGTAGCTGGTCTTCCTGGCCCTGCCTATAATTAACTTTGGAAACACGAATGCGTTTAGTTGTGCTCATCTGGGCAGAACTCCCCCGCACTTGTGAGACTGTTGGGATACTGTTGTGTATCGGCAGCTCTGGTTTTGAGGTCTTGCACGTGTGCTGTTCTGCCCCGTCCTTCTGCCACTGGCCATAGCCGCACGATGAGATATGAACGCTTTTACTTTGTATGGCCCGTCATAGCCAACTTTGCTTTTAACTGTTCTGCAGCGTTGGAAATGTGGTGCTGTTTAACCTGAACTTTGTCGCCAATTTGGGGACGCCATTCACGCCTCCTCAATTTATATTGACGCGCTTCGTCTTCACTGGCCAGCCTTTAGTTTCTTCGTACAATCTGCGCGACAAATTGCACTAGCGCTGTGTGTGCTACAGGGCTGGCTGCAGCATCCGGATCTTCTCCATACAGGTGAATGCTGGTGAGTAGTCTGTGGCTTCAGATTGGGCTGTGTTAACCGCCAACTGGATCTCGTCCCACGCGGCACGTTGGTCATCAATAGCTGCGCGATGAGGGCTGTAACTGTTCTGTTACTGTTATGCTCAGTTGGATTCTTTTTGCGCCGTGTATGGCGCTGTCAGCTGCTTTTGGATGCCTAACTTGGTAAGGAATTGCTTCAGGGCTCGGCTCATGAATTGTGCGCCATTGTCGGTGATGAGCTGCTTCGGCGTGCCGAACCGGACCAGAATCCATCAGCGTCAGTTTCACTGCAGCCGCTGTGGCAGGTGGTCTGTCACGACTGTGAAATTCTATCTCTCTAGATTCCGAATGCCCTTCATGGGGATCTGCTAATATCAGTTTCGCACGTCGATGCTGCTGATATACATACTTTGCCTATCGTAGCTGTTCGAGAATATGCTGGATTCTCGGATTGGGGTATACGTCGAGCGCTCATTTAGCTGGGGGTAGTCGATTAACATACCCCACGCCCCATTCTTCTTGCGTACCAGCACTATGGGTGCGCTGTACTCGCTATTGGACTGCTCAATACAGCCTTTTGCCAGTAATTCGCCTACCTCATGGTCAATCACAACTTGCGTCGCAGGGTTCCTCGGATAGTAGCGCTGTTTGATGGGCCTGTCATTTTTGACGCGAGTCGTGTGTGCTTCCACTGATGAAGGAACGTGGCCACTCTAGCAGCCTGTTCTTTTGTCAACAGGGTGTAATGGGTCTGGTTGGTGTTATTGTACTAATTGTACTAGAAGCCAGATGGATTGGCTTGAACGTTCGAAATTGGAATATGATGTTTAAAGATAAGGAAAGCATGAAGCTGACAAGGAGGATGTTTTTCCCGTATACCCGCCCTACCTTGTAATGCTATTTTTATACTCTGTACATGAAATGTACAGAAGTATATTAGGTTTGCGGGAGCTGAAAAATGTAACAGGCAGAAGGAGGCGTGGCAGACCC